GGGTAGTAGATCTGTGAAAGCAGGATAGGGAAGTGCTAGAGAAGTGCTTTTGCATTTGATCCAGAGGAGCCTGGATTTTCCAGGAAATGTTCATTCCTCTCATCTAGACTATGCATTATCCACTAGAGGTAGAGTATGGGTTTTATGTTGAAATTTGAGGTGGTGTCAGGACATTGGGTCTATAGAATTTGGGGTTACTTTCTGTGAAATGTTGGTCTGGGTCACGGCTACTTGTGAGACTATCTAGTACCAACTAGACTCCTTTCCTCATTATTATCTTTGGGGAAACAGGGAGCCAGGGAGGGGAATGGAATGCCAAGGAAGCAGAAGAATAAGGAGTGCAGAGGTGATCTCAAACGAGAATTCACAGACTCCTCTCTCCTCCAAACAGAGTAACATCTTACTGAGAAAGCTCTGCTCCTTTTAGTGTTTGTTTGTTTATTTGTTTGTTTAAATGAAATAATGTATCTCCTTTTCAGGACAGCAATGCCTTATGGTGGATATGAGAAGGCATCCAAACGCATGACCTTCCAGATGCCCAAGTTTGACTTGGGGCCCCTGCTGAGTGAACCCCTGGGCCTCTACAACCAGAACCTCTCCAACAGGCCTTCTTTCAATCGAACCCCTATCCCCTGGCTGAGCTCTGGGGAGCCTGTAGACTATAATGTGCATATAGGCATCCCCTTGGATGGAGAAACAGAGGAGCTATGAGGTGTTTCCTCCTCTACTTTGCATCAGTTTCTCCTCTCTGATTCCAATTTGGAGAAGGAATAAGGAGCAGGACACCCCAACCTCCATTCCTTTTGGGAATGGAGGGAAAGGGGAGGGAGAAATCTGCCTTTTCATCTGTCACTCTAAGTCCCCACTCCAAGCATCCTTCCTCACCAGCTCAGAGCTCCCCTTCCAGTTGCTCTGTATGAAACCTGCTCTTTTATGGAATTTGCTCTGCTACTGTTAACGGTCAATAAACTTCAAGGAAATGAACTCATTCTTCCTCTGATATTTGAGGGCAGACAAAAACTGAGGCTAACAATGCACAGAGGGTAATTAAAGTCAAATACTAAACATTCATTGTTCAAATTTCAAGATCAGACCTGAGCTCTGGTTACTTACACACCTACGCCTACATCCACACCCATGAAACATCATTCATAGGTGTATACAAAGACATACTTATTCAATAGTGCATGCCAATTAATTGTGCACAAACACATGTGCTAGCCCATATGTGAGCACAGTTAAGAAGCTATTATGTGCTGTGGTTAGGAAATAGGTGTTGGTGACCCCGCTGTTAGTTCTCTTTATGTAGCTGATTAGAAATTGGGATAATCAAGGATTACCCAATTATTACAGAAATAGAACATGCCATAAAGTTTCCAGATGACATCAGAGTAGGCTTAGGAATATATGTGTCAAAGATTCATATATTTAGATTCCTAAAAGGATGAGATAAAAGAGGGAGCCACATCAGAATCCAGGAGGAAGTGGGAGCAACTAGCTGCAGTTATACAAGATCCAGCACAAATACCACCCCTTTTTAATTGTAAAAATTTTTATTACAAAATCACAAGCATGTAATTCTGTAACATAACAATATCATACTCAAGCACACCATATGACATTTTACGTGAAATGTGAAAATTAAAACTATAAATTATTACACCCATATTGTCACCCTACCAATCACTCTCAAGCAGGTGTTACTTCTGAGGGGCCCTGTAGTATGTCTGGCTCTGCATGAACACAGCAAGAAAAGATCTAAGGGTCACAGGGGCACAGCAGTGGTGTCCTGAAAGCACTATGATTGGGAAGAAATAGTAAGAGCCAATAGGAATGAGTACCAGTATTCTCTTTCTCTCTCTCTTTTTTCATGTTTAAACAGGCTTTATTTTTTTCAATTACGATTTACATTTATTATTATTTTTTATCAGTTTCAGGTGTACAGGATAGTGGTTAGACACTCATTTACAGGGGGAAATATCAGTTCCCCCTGATATTTCCAGTACCCACCTGGTACCATACATAGTTATTACACATTATTGACTATATTCCCTATGCTGTACTTTACATCCTGGTGACTATTAATATTTCTCTTTTTATTGATTTCAAGCACAGAGTTTCTTTACAATCCCAGGACTTACTGCTATGTTCCACAAAGAAAGAATGAAGCAGGAAGAATGGAGATTACTTAATGAGCGCTGAGAAAGTAAATCCTGAGAGCTGGTTAAAGTCAGCCAAATTCTCATACCATTATAGATTATATTAAGTTGCTAGACTCTGCATAGACTGATTCAGTTTTCATGGACCTTAGGTCATATGACATTTACCCTGGTCACTTTCCTTTACAACCTAAATTCCAGGGGATTCATATTTTCTGTAAACTTGTACACAAAACTCTATTTTTATGTACATTTTTCTAAGGAGCAGGTTGTTATAATTCGGATTTTCTCCCCAAAAGGTCCTAAAACAAAAATTTGGATGTAAGTAGCTAATTTAGGTGATCTCAAAATCCAAGATGTGTAAGGGAGTGAGAACAAAGTGTAAAAAGGTGTTCTTGGCAATTAGAGCTCAATGACATTGGGGGCTCAAAAAAAATACTGTTCAAAGTGTGGTCTATGAACTGACAGCATGATTATCTCTTGGGAGCTTGGTTAAAAGTACAAACTTAGAAATCAATGGCTTATTAAACTCTTGAGGTGATTCCTATGTGTTAGTAAATTTTGAGCAACACTACAGTAGGTCATATCTCAGAATTGTCCCACTGAAGGAGGAGGGAACTGAAGTTTTAGCCTCCAAATCCCATCTCTCATTGGTTGCAGATTACTATCAGGAAAGTCAACTTTAGGCAATTCCAGACAAAGGTGTTTGAGGTAGGAAGCTCTGGGCTTGTAGAGGATCTGTCTATCAAAGCTGTAGTGAACTCTGAGGTCAGCTGAGGAAATATGGATAGGCCAGGATCTGGATAAAAGTCAGAGTTTTCATCAGGTCTCTTATTTAACAGTCTGTGAGCCCTCCCCCAAAATTAAGGACTGTATTCCTTTAACAAATGTTTGTTGAGTGCCTCTATATACCAGGTACTAGGTCAGACACCAGAGATACAAAGACAAATAACAACTCATGTGACAAAGAGATTTCACAGTCAACCATGAAATAATTATTAAATACCTCTTAAGGTTGGGATTAAAAACAAAAATACTCTTAAGGCTGGGATTAAAAACAAAATTCAAGGTCTCCTAGTCAGTAGCTCTGAAAACTTAGAAACTTAATTTTTTCCAAGCCCAGAATGTGTGAAATCTTAAATATAACAAAAATGTCACGATACAAACTTACTAATTTACAGGGAACCTAGGCTGGTTGTGAAATTATGTCCTTAGAAGAAAAGTTTACTTGAAAGTCAAATTATCATCAGAAGTTGCAGGGGTGGTTTAATGCATTAAAGTGCACACTTGTATAGGATCCAGCCAGAAATACAGTCAAATCCTCAAGATATGCTATCCATTTGCATGAACATTATTCTTCTATTAAAACACCTTTTCTTCACAGATGTTTCATACATTTGAATACCACAGTTCACAGAAGCCATATATTGGCAGCAGAGCTGTCTGTACTGCTCACACACATCTCCTGTTTTGCCATCACTGTGTTTTAAAACTCAGGTGCTCAGGAGAGGTCTCTTTTAGATAGGAGCTTGTGCTCTCCAGTGGGTCCTAGTCCTTGCGACTACCTAGTGTTTTGCACCAGGCCATCTTTTATTGTCACTTGCCTAGACTCTCCAGCCATTTGAGTTAGCAACTTCAAGGTTTCTTTTACATAAAACACATGCCCATAATACGTTGCCACTAAAATCACCCAGTAGCTCATTCCCTAATTTAGGATCTAGAGCTTTAATGTTTTATAGCATTGTCACTAGCCACATATGGCCATTGAGCTCTTAAAATGTGCATAGTCTGAATTGAGATGCTTTGTCAACATAAACACTGGATTTTGAAAACTTAGTATGGAAAAAAGAATGTAAATTATCTCAATAAGATACAGATTACATGTTGAAATGATATTTTGAATATATTGGGTTAAAAGATAACTAAAATTTCGTATTTATTGCTTGTTACAAGTGTGGCTACTAGACATTTTAAAGTGCATAACGTGGCTCGCAATGTATTTCTACTGGTCTAGACTGAGAGCTATTCAGGGGCTCTGAGAGAAGAAAATGAATTCTCCATTTATTATTTCTATTCCCTTATTTGTTCCTCTATGTTTTACTCTTCCTTATTGACCAACGTTAAGTACACCTGTTTCAGGTGCTTCTCAGTCTGCATTTAAAATGGTCTGAGAGCAGAGACAAAATCCTGCAACCAAGTGTTGACATTCACTAAGTTAAGGATGTGTCCACTGTGCAGAAAGCAACAAGTGAGAAGTTCAAACCACACACCAATGCAGTCCCATTTCGCATCCAAACACCTGTGTTTATGTTCCATTAAAAATCAAAACAAAACACTTTTGTTCCTATTTTGGTCGGGCTAACTGGTGGAGGTGTGGCCCTCGTGGATAAACTAACATTTCTGTGGAGCCAAATACCATTTGCAATCCAGTGTAGGGGAATAAACGCATGAAAACTTCCTGAAGGAAGGTAATGAGGAGATGGGAAGGCCCATTTCAGTCTTGTTCGCTCCATCTCTTCTCGGCCTGCAGAAGGAAAATGCCGGTAAAACGAAACTTCAGCCAAAGGCGGCACTGCTCTAATTTTGAGGCACTTGGGAAAAGAGGGCCACCTCCCTAAATTTATTCTGATGTAGCGTCTGCTATACTAACAACCCCCAGCCCAGACCGTCATGTCTGCGACAGCTTTTTGACTCTCCCATCAGCTCAATGATCTTCCAAGCTCTCGCCCACTTCCAGTATTTCCCATGTCACACCCCTGAGACTCCTTGCGGCCGCCATTTTACAATAACTATCGCGAGACATACTTAGCAGCCTGGGTCCTGACTCATTTACTTTCTTGCGAGAGGTTCTTGTTGGTTGTTCTCGCCGTAGCAGAGGAAAGTGTCGCGAGAGCTGGTTGCCTTGGCTCCCTGTAGCTATAGCAGCCGCGGCGGTTAAGAATGCGGCGGCAGGAGGGGTGAGTGCTACACCCTCCGGGGGGCGGGGCTGGAGGTAATGGGGAGCGGAGGGTAGCACCTGGGGGGGTGGGGTGGGGGCGGTAGGGTCGCGGGAGGAATGGGCCCGAGTGTGACATTTAGGGAAGGACCCGGGTTCAGTGGTTAGAGGGACTGGGCGCCTGTTTGCCCTAGGACACGCAGGGAGGGCTGGATCTGCTGGGAGGTCCAGGGGGAGGGACCGGGGTGTAGGGTTCGAGGAGCAGGGACCTGAGTGTGGCAGCTTGACTGTGGTGGGAATATTAGGATTACGGGGTCTCTGAACTGTATAAAAGGACCCGACTAGTTTGAGGAATAAGTGGGAAGAAATGGGGTACAGCTGGGAGGAGGGTATGTTGAATGGGAGCACAGAGGTTGGGCCCGGTTTGCTGTGCACTGGTGGGGATGGTGTGTGTGTGTCTCGGACCTTTGCAGGTCCCGGGGGCCCGCCTGAGGCTGGTCACAGATTTGAACCGCGTCAGGACTTGGGTCTTAAATGGCTTGGCGGGAATGGTGGCGTCCCGGACCTTCACCGTCTCCCGCCCCTTCCACAGAAATCCCCCACGGACTCTGAGATGTGAAAGGAGGTTCCTGGTGAGCTAGTATTAGTCGGTGGAGAGAGACTGTGAGTGGGATAATGAATGATTGCTACTCTAAAGTGTGGGGTGGGAACCCGAGAGAAATTTTTGAGAAAAAAAAAACAACCAAACAAAACCTCAGATGGTCTTCCTCTAGAACGTACAGAGTTGGAAGAAGGGGGTGTGTGCTAAGATCACGTTTCTTCCCAGATTCATTCAAGTGTAGAATTCCTTTACCGTGTATTTATTAAATTATACATTCAGTGTAAAATCAGTTTAGATGGTACAGTGAAAGAATGTGCATTACGACACGTAAACCTTCCATGAATGTCATTTAAAAACTAAGAAAAGTGTTTTTATTGCTGCAGAACCAGGCTGAACACTAGGGATAGTTTTAGTTACTTGAATATAAAACCTAGTGTTCCCTAAGTGTGCCTGTGGATTAGGTTTTATTTTAGGAGATTGCATATGTTTTGAATATGGTCAATCTGAAGTAAAAAGGAGTCTCCCAGGAGTTAAAATCATCCAGAGGGCAAAACTGAGTCTCAAGGACTATTCTCTGGAGAGAGGTTTGCATTACTTTTCTCATTAATTCTTATTTTTAGTGCAAACAATGAAATTTAATGAAACCATAAAAATGATTTCAGTGTACAGATACAGCTTTCTGATAATTTTGGTCACTGTGTTTTGTAAGTATAAACTTGCAAAGGATAACCTTTTTTGGATTATGTAACTGGAGTTATTCCATGTCGAGGTCAAAAATTCATTAATTATACTAATGACTTTTAAATACTTCTAGAGCTAGCCTTGATGTGGTTAGTCATTGAACTTATTTATTTGGTATGTATTAGACTAAAACTCTTAATTTATAATGTTAATAGCTAAACTTTAAAGTGCTTTTCTGAGGCAAAAGAAATCTTATGTGGTTGGGTCCAAAAGATTTCTGCATGAATCCATTAACAAGCTTTGCTGGTTCTTATTATGTGTAGAGTACTGTGTATAAGGCATTACAAGAGGGAAAAAAGATTAATTCATTTATCCATTCCACAAACATTTATTGAGACTTATTCTGTGTCTGACTACTAAGCCTTCAGGATAGAAATACAAGTAAGCCTTGGCTCCCTGCTTTGAAATTGCTTAGAGCCTAGGAAGGGAGAGTGATAGAGAAACAAATAATTACAGTTTGAACACAGACTCAGGTTCTGGCCCTGAGGAGTTTACATAGTAGCTGACAAGACTAAAAAGAAAGAAAGAATTTAAAACATTACAAAATATTAAGCACATTCTAAACTGCTGCATCAGTAAAATATATTACATTTCTCTGAAGAGGTGAAAGAATGGAAACTTGAGAAAATTCACAGGTCAGTTAATTTAATTATCCTTAAAATTTTTATTTATTGATTTATTTTTAAAGAGAGGGGAAGGAAGGGAGAAAGAGAGGGAGAGAAACATCAATGTGTGAGGGAAACATCCATCAGTTGCCTCTTGCATGTCCGGAACCAGGGATCTGGCCTGCAAGTCAGGCATGTCCCCTGACTGGGAATCCAAGTCAACCTTTTGATTCACAGGCTGGCACGCAGTCTACTGAGCCACACCAGCCAGGGCTGATATATTAATTTTTTTAAATGTTTTATTTATTTATTTTTAGAGAGGGTAGAGGGAGAAAGAGAGGGAGAGAAACATTGATGTGGGAGACATACATTGATTGTTGCTTCTTGCATGATCCCAATTGGGGACCTGGCTGACAATCCAGGCATGTGCCCTGACTGGAAATCAAACTGGTAACCCCTTGATCCGCAGGCCAGTGCTTAATCCACTGAGCCACACCACTCAGGGCTAATAGTCTTTTAAATCACTCTTTTAAAATAAATATCACTCAACATTACTTAAGGAGAGAGAGGAAGGGAGGGAGAAAGAGAAGGAGAGAGACATCTATTTGTGAGAGGAACATCCCTCAGCTGGGGACCTGGCCTGTAGTCTGGCATGTGCCCTGACTGGGAATCAAACCAGTGACCTTTTGGTTTGCAGGCTAGCACTCATCCACTGATCCATACCATCCAGAGCTGAACATTCTTAAATCAATAATAATAATAATAATAGGAATAATAGCTAACATTGGGTGATTATTAATATGCCAGGCACATTATCTCATTTTATCTTCACAGCACTCTGCTCTTCAGCTGGTACTAATACTTCAATTTTAAAGATAAGAAAACTGAAGATAAAAAAATTAAGGAAGTTGCCAAAGATCACAGAGCTAGTAAATAAAATGGCAGATTAGGAATTAGAGTTAGAAATATATGCAATTGGAAAAACCTAAGCAAGATTCCTTTCTTTTGCAGGGAGGGAGCCTGGAGATGGGGGAAAGAGGGCAGAGATTGAAGGTGGAATTGGCCAGAAGACCAGATTTTAATCAGTGTCTTTATTTGTAGATTTTCCTCTCTCAAATATTTACACTCTATGGGGAATGAATTTGAATATTAGCATAATGCTAAATATGAAATTTGAATTGAGTAAATTACAATATTCATGTTGTATATAATTGTACAGGGAGCAGTGCCTGGGAAAATGATTATAACAAGCAATTGTTACATTTGTAAGCTTCCAGAAAATGATCATTTTAACAGTGGAAATGGTTATTTATATTCATATATACTGCAAATGTTACTGCAACAGACTTTAAAGGATTAAGTCATTTTTTACACTGCAGTTTTTTAAATTATATTTTATTGATTATGCTATTACAGTTGTCCCAATTTTTCCCCTTTGTCCCCCTCCACCCAGCATCCCCCACTCCCTCAAGCAATCCCCACACCATTTTTCATGTCCATGGGTCATGCATTTAAGTTCTTTGGCTTCTCCATTTCCTATACTGTACTTTACAGTCCCATGGCTATTCTGCAACTACCTATTTGTACTTCTTAATTCTCTTACCTCTCCACCATTCCCCTACACCCACCTCCCATCTGGCAACCATCAAAATGCTCACCATATCCATGATTCTGTCTCTGTTCTTATTTGCTTAGTTTGTTTTTTAGACTCAATTGTTTATGTATGTGTATGTATTGCCATTTTATTATTCACAGTTTTGATCTTCTTTTTCTTAAATAAGATCCTTTAATGTTTCTTTTAATAATGGTTTGGTGATGATGAACCCCTTTAGGTTTTTCTTGTCTGGGACATTGTTTATCTGCCCTTCCATTCTAAATGATTGCTTTGCTGGGTAGAGCAATCTTGGCTGTAGGTCCCTGCTTTTTATGACTTTGAATATTTCTTGCCAGTCCCTTCTGGCCTGCATAGTTTCTTTTGAGAAGTCAGCTCAGACTCTTATGAGAACTCTCAGATTCTTATGAGAAAGTAGGTAACTACTTTCTTCTTGCTGCTTTTAAGATTCTCTCTATACCTTTAACCTTTGGCATTTTAATTATGATGTATCTTGGAGTGGGCCTCTTTGCATCCATCCTGTTTGGGACTCTGTGCTTCCTGGACTTGCATGTCTATTTCCTTCACCAAATTAGGGAAGTTTTCTTTCATTATTTTTTCAGATAGGTTTCCAATTTCTAGCTCTTTCTCTTCTCCTTCTGGCACCCCTGTGATATTATTATGGGACCTCTTAAAGTTGTCCCAGAGGCTGCTTACACTTTCCTCATTTTTTTGGATTCTTTTTTTCTTCTTTTGTTCTGACTGGTTGTTTCTTGCTTCCTTATGTTCCAAATCATTTATTTGATTCTCGGCTTTATTCACTCCACTGTTGTTTCCCTGTAAATTGTTCTTTATTTCAATTAGTGAATCCTTCATTTCTGACTGGATCTTTTTAATGCTGTGGAGGTCCTCCCTGAGTCCCTTGAGCATCCTTGTAAGCAGTGTTTTGACCTCTGCATGTGATAGATTGCTTATCTCCATTTCATTTAGCTCTTTTTCTGGAGTTTTGATCTGTTTTTTCGTTTGGGCCATGTTTCTTTGTCTCCTTGTTTTGGCAGCCTCCCTGTGTGTGTTTCTATGTATTAGGTATAGCTGCTGTGACTCTGTGTCTTGGTAGTGTGACTTAATGTAGCAGGTGCCCTGTACTGTCCAGTGGCACAGCCTCCCCTATCACCCAAGTTGGGTACTCGAGATACACCCTTCATGTGGGCTAAGTACACCCTATTGTTGTAGTTGAGCCTTGGTTGCTATTTACAGATCAATAGGAGGGTTTTACCTAGGCCAGTCAGCTGCAAGGACTGGCTGTGACCACTGGCCACCAACCTCCACCTCTGTGGAGGATCAGCTGTGTGGGGACAGGGTGGTGGTGCTCCAATGTGGTTTGTGGCTGTCCACTGATTGCATAGGCTCTGGGGTTTCCTGGGTGGTGCAGGGTAAGGTCAGCCCCCAGCTGTCTTTTGCTTGGGGCACCCTGCCTGAGTTGT